ACACTGCCCTTCCCATACCTCGATTTTAGCCCAGTGAGACCTATTTCACACTTCTGACCTCTAGAAATTTAAGATAATAAATTTGTGCGGCATTAAATTTATCATAATTTGTTACTGTGACAATAGGAAACTAATACAGTTGGGCTTTTTTTCCCTGAGTTCTGACCTCAGTAACACCTTCCAAGAAAGTAGTGCCCAGTTTTAAGTTTTCTTTTTCTTCTTTTGCCAAAGAAAGCACTTGACCCAGATTCTGACTCGCCCTCATCTTCCTCGAAACGTCAATCTGGGAAGGCTTCCCTGGTGGCACAGTGGTTAAGAATCCGCCTGCCAGTGCAGGAGGCAGGGGTTCGAGCCCTGGTCCGGGAAAATCCCACATGCCGCGGAGCAACTAAGCCCGTGCGACACAACTACTGAGCCTGCGCTCTAGAGCCCACGAGCCACAACTACTGAGCCCACGTGCCACAACTACTGAAGCCTGCGTGCGTAGAGGCCGTGCTCCGCAACAAGAGAAGCCACTGCAGTGAAAAGCCCGCGCGCCGCAACGAGGAGTAGCCCCTGCTGGCTGCAACCAGAGAAAGCCCACGCGCAGCAACGAAGACCCATCCAAAAATAAAATAAATAAATTTATTTTTAAAAAAACATCAATCTGGCAATACAGGTAGCCTGTAGTATCGGCTCAGCAGTGGTGTCACTACATTGTTATGGGATGTAAAGAAATGTTATTTTAAACAATGGCTTTTACAGATTTCTGCTGGTCTGACTTTAACAAACACAGTGGCTCTTGCCTCTATGGTCTAATACATCTTCTCCACCAAAGAGGCCCACTGGAGGAAGACAGTGTGATAGAAACCACGGGCAGAGCAAATGTGTGTAAATACACATGGGCTTCTCTCATTGAACTGCTCATGTGGAGGGGTAAATGAGTGTCCTCAGCCATAGGGAACTCACTGTTCTCTTTATGCTGATATTTTTGCTTTTGACATCTTCCTTTTTAATGTCATGTCTGTTACTGTCTTAAAATGATTATCAGGTCTACCAGCAAGCACAATTTGACCTTTGCATTCATCTTGACTATGTCAAGATGGAACCAGTTCTCTTCAGCTAGTTGATTATGATGCTTTGCTCTTAACAATGTTGACAGAGGGCAGAATTTTCCTGGCACCGGTTTCCTGGAGTGCTGTTTTGGGTCAATTCCATCATAGAGGCAGAACCTTGTAATTTTGCAGAAGATCCAAACCTCTCTCTGCCTCCACGGTCCTTGTCAATTGATGAGAGATTACAAACTCAGGCCAAGTTGCCTGGCTTGGGTTCCAGTCCAGCTCTGAGGACAAGCTGCCACCAGATGTGTATTGCCAAGAACAGCACACTGCTCTCATTCACATTCAACTCCTTTTCTGACATCTCACCTACGCAGAATAAGTTAGGGCTTCATGATTTATAATACAATCATTAACTCTATCCATACATTTCTTCCACCCACTCCACCTTATCCCCTTCCCCTTCGACAGGTGTATATTTACCCGTACTATTAACCAAGCACTTTGCTCAGCACTGGACATACAGTAGTGAGCAAACATCAAGAAATTTCTTCCCACATGGAGCTTCTATTTTAGTGGGAAAGAAAAATATAATTCAACTAAACACACAAATAAATGTCCATCTATCAACAGGTACACTGAAATCATAATTTAAGTAACAGCAACAAAAAGCAATCCTCCTGACTACCAAAAAGAAACAAAGAATATTGACAGATAGAAGTAAAAGGAAAGAATGGGAATGAGCATGATATTATACATATTAGGATTGAGACAAAAGAGTGGTACAGTCGTATTTGGGATGAATATCAAGAAGATGAGTATATAATTAGAGCATAAGGAATCCACTGTCTTTTCTTCAATGAAGATGATAAAAAGAGTTAATTGTTCAGAAAAATGAGAGTGTAGGCCAGCTATCTATGCAACAAAGTCTCTGATCTTCAAATCCCAGTGCCACCTCTTTCCAGCCTAGATAAGTGAGCCCAGACAAGTAACTTAGCTTTCCTGAGCCTTAGGGTCCCTACCTGTAAGTTGAAGATATGTTCTATCTCATGCATTTGTTGAGAACTTAAAAAGAGAAAACATACAGGAAAGTCCTAGGAACAGTGTGATACATAGGTAAGCCTTCAGTACAGTTTTTGGATCTGGATGTGAAACCTGAGTGGATAAATCAAAAATAGGATGGCGGGGTGAAACTTAGCCTCGAAGAACGTTCTTGTTTTTTCAACAACTCCCTAAAAGCAATGAATGTACCTAGTGCCCAGATCTTGGTTTCTAATACCATTCTCCAATCAAAGGAACCAGGGCTCCTTGGAGCAGTGGCTGATTCTGGAACTGGAGCAGAAAATATACAGGATCAGCCTGGAGCATTTTGTGGGACCAGAAAATAAGGAAGTGCCAAAAACAAACAAACAGGCACACATATATACACAATGATGGGGGGATGTCAAAGGGACACAGGAACCAATTTTAAGAACTCCCAATGGCCAAAGCTGACAATCTAAAATAAATAAAATAGTATTGGACTGTTATCCAAAGTGCAAAATAAATATTGATGAGCTTATACTGACATAAAAAAAATAGATGAATGAATGAATGAATGGAGTGGGGGGAGAGACATCTCTCAAGCAGAGAAATTCCAAGTAATTTATGGAGCTACTCCACTCTCAAGGAGGTGGAGTATAACTCTTCTTCCTTAAGTGTGGGTTGTACATAGTGATTTCCTTCCAAAAAATACAGTATGGAAAGTGGGGGGGAAGGTAACCCATGGAGATACCTGGCATACACTACCCGACCAGGTGATAAAGGTTAACATCAACAGTGATAAGTCATGGTCACAGTATGTACCCTTGATATGATGTGATGAAAATGATACTTCACCTCGGAGATCGCCCTCCAAAAAAAACCATAAACCCAGTCTAGTCATGAGAAAAATATCAGAGAAATACCAATTGAGGGACATTCTACAAAATATTTTGCCAATACGCCTCAAACCTGCCAAGGTAATAACAAAACAAGGGAAGTCTGAGAAACTGTCACAGCTAAGAGGAGCCTAAGGATACATACAGGATTACTAAATGTACTGTGGTGTCCTGGATGGGATCCTGGAGCAGAAAAGAACATCAGGGAAGAATGAAGGAAATCTGAAAAAAGTATGGACTTCAGTTAATAATAATGTATCAGTATTGGTTCCTTAATTGTGACAAATGTATCACACTAATGTAAAATATTAATAATAGGGGAAAGTGGGTGTGGTGTATATGGGAACTCTCTATACCATCTTTGTAATTTTTCTTTAAGTCTAAACTGTTATAAAATTTAAAAAATTTTTAAAAAGCAAATAAAACATTCTTGCAATACCAGACCTTTTGGCATCCCAGGAACAATACAGAAAAGATCCCTGCACACTTCCAAATTAATCCCCTGTAGGAGTCAGGGTTAGGAGGGCCAAAGTGTTAGCTTTACCCAAAGCTTGAAAAAGCGCTTATTCTGCCTATTCATCTAAGCCTGTGTTTGCCTCTGGGTTATTCTTGGCTACAGTTTCAAACTTAGGGTGTATTGTTTCTATTTTGATTACTGTGTAGGAATACCAGAGTAAAATAATTTTCTCTGTTTTTAATTAGTGATAATTCTACACTAAAGTCAGTCCTTTTTATTTCAAATTTAAGACTGTCAGTGAAATACAAAACTTTTCCAGTAGTTTTGTTACAATTCCTCCAGTCTGCCTCTTTGTTGCCTTTCGGCATTAGTGATTTTTTTGTCTGTGTGTTCAACATGATACCAATTGATATGTCAAAATTGCATAATGGTTTTTATTGTGAAGCCTTGACTTCTTGGTTTGATTTCCTATAATATAGGTCAGCACATGCCCCCTTCACTGAGACAACTTGCACCTTCTTTCCCCACTCAGGGACAAAAACTCACACCACGTTGAGCTGAGCAATACTCAGGCAATGAGAGCTCGAGAAAGAGTCATTGTTTTATGCTATTAGACACGCAACCTGCAGGTTATTTTAAGTATTATATTACCAGAACTTGAATAGCAACAACAATAATGCATTCTATTAAAAATAAATAAAAGGAAAGTAAAAAGAAAAAAAGGAAAAACGAAAGAAAAAGGAAAGCTTCGTTTCTTAAGTGTGCTAAAGATCTATTGTAATCTCCTCCATTTTTTTCTAAAAAGTTAACGAGAGAAAAACAAAATAATAGGAAACATTCCCAGGATTTTAAATCTTATGAGCCCAGAATCCGTGAAAATCCTGTTTAGAACCATCCCGTGAAGTTGGCTTTGGGACGTCTCCCGCTACTGCATCAGAGCTTCTGTATCTTTCTAACAATCCCGTTGACGTACCCTGAGGACACAGCAGCTGGCTGGAGCGCCCAGACCAGACTCCTCTAACTGAATGTAGATGTGCAGGTGGAGAGGATACAAGTAATTCTGGCTCAGCAGCCAGGAATTCCCTCCCACCCCGCGTCCCAAAAGTGCACTGCACATTAGCGGCACAATTGGGACCCTCAAAAGCCATGACAATTCTAACAGTGCCCCCTGCTCTAGTGCTAAGAGTGTGGCCGGCGCCTGCCTCCGAGTGATGCCATCTTGGGATCTTAGCATCTTCTAAGGAGTTAGTGAGTTTTGCATTCTATTCACGTTTCCGTGTCTTTGAAAACTCAACCCAACTTTGCAAGATGAGAACCTGCTGGTGTGGACCCTTAACTTTCTCTAACTAGAACTGACAAAATCAGATGCGATTTACACTAAACTGAAGACCTCCGGCCCCCCGCCGCAGACGGCACCCCCGAATTCTGGGCTCGCTGGGTGTCAAGTCAGCTGCCCAGCGGCAGACCTTCCGTCCGGGACCCCAGAGAAAGCCCTCCGCCAGCGCCGAGCGTAGTAGGGGCTGGAGGTTTGGGGGAGCTGGTCTCAGCAGGAGTGGGTGGGAGGGTGGCGGTACCCCAGCAACTTACAGTCCAGGGCGACCACCAGGTAGCGCAGCAGCAACAGGAGGAGGCGGTGGCGGCTCCTCCTCGCCATCTTCGCGGGGTCGGGAGCTGCCGACTCCTCGGAAGCCGAGGGTCCCGGCGGCGGGAGCGCGGAAGCGCGGGAGGCAGCCCGGGGGGGCACTGAACTTCTCGGGGCGGGAGCAGAGACACTCATGCAGGGGAGGGGAGGGGCGGGGCCTGATGGCATGTCAGTTTCCCCCTTCCAGGGGCGTCTTCTTAACCGGCTGCCTAGAGGCGGGTCTGGCCTAACCGGGGACCTGGGGGGGTCTGGACAGTTCTTTTTTTTTCGGGGGGGGGGGGGGGGGGGGGGGTGGGGACGGGGCGGGCCGAGGAAGCCGGACGAGGTGTCGGCTGGGTCCTAATGAGGGGGCCGGAGGAGGCGACGGGCGGAAGGGAAGCCCTGGCGGGGCGGGCGGCCCCCGCCCCCGCGCCGCCGGGATTGATCGGCTTTGTGTCTGGTCCGGCGCGGGGCTGCCAGCTGTCCCCCAGGGCGAGGAGCCCGGGCGCGGGAGGCGCTGGCCGCAGGGCTTGGGGGTGGGGCGCGGAGGAGGGGGGACTGCGCCTGCCTTGCTCCGACTCCTCTTTTCCCCTCCTTGGCACAAAACTTCTCTGGGGGTTTTCAGCCTAAGGGTGGAGATCTTTGGAAAATTTCTGGCCAACCCGCGAACCTGCGGGGTAGGCGCTCCGGGGAGATGGGGTTCGCCGGCTCCGCCTTGGAGGCGAAGGGGGGAAAAAAGCAATCAAGACTCGAGCTGGAAGGCAGGACTCAGATTTTAGCAATCGCCTTGGCCTCTTCTCGGTGTAAGCTTTCTGCTTCTTTGGAGAGTTGAGGTGTGTTTTGTGTTCTTTGCTTTTCACGTGTCAGAGTTAGAAGTTCATCTAACGGTGTGAAATATTTATTATGTTTCTTTCCAGTTATATAACTGCCGCCTGTGGAGTTTTCCACATGTTAAAACTCTACAGCTGCCCTTTGTCAGGTTTATTTTTGGTCTACAGTGCTTTTAAAAGCGAAACCCATTATGAATGCTCTGTTGCAGTGCTTTAAAATTGACCCGCACTTACAGTGCACACAGTGCAAGGGCTAAACAGGCAATTTTTATATTTACTCCTAGGGACCGAAAATGTCCGCTGCATTCAACAGTACTGACAGGTCTGGAAAAAGACCATTCCCAAGAGAAGAAATAGTTACAGGTTTTTTTTTTTTTTTTTAACGTAGAATAATGGTTAAAGTTCTGTGTAGAAGACAGTTGATTTAGTGGTGTGCACACGAAGAATTTAGTTAGCTCAGTGGACAAAGGCAACCAGAGTTCAGATATGCAGAGCTGTGAGGAATGAGCATCCCTGCTGTTTCCTTGGTGACAGTGATGGAAGCTTAATGCCCATGGCGGGAGAGGGACAGAGGACCCAGAAAGGAAAGTCAAAATGGCAAAAATGTGAGAGCTATACTCTAGTCAAGCAAGGAGAAAGGATACAGATTCAACAACAGGCTTAACGCCAGTTTTTCTGGGCAGCAACAAGAAAGATTTAATGCTTTACAAGAAAAGTTGTTGGCACCCTCTTTTCTCATTCTTGCCCCAACTATCTGCCTCTTTTGCTCCTTGCTAAAGATACACACACACAAAAGGGGTACTTTTTAAAAAAAATTCTGTGACACCCTATGTGAATACTTGATTCACTCAGTTATCTGTCCCCCAGTCAAGGCATTTGTCAAATAGCTACAATATGCGGCTGCTGGAGGACAATGATGAACAAGATCAAGTCTTTGCTGCTCAGGAGCTCACAGTCTTGAGGAAAGAGAGAATGAGTCCCACCTGGAAAGGCCTCAAATACCACGTCATAAGTGTTACGGGAGGACAGAAAATAATACGTTTTTTATTGAGTGCTTTCTCAGCAGTGGAGTCTGAATACTGCAATATCTAATCCTCCAACAACTCTGTTAGAGAGAAAATATTATCATTCCCACTCTACAGATGAGATAACCAGGCAGAGAGATGCTAAACAGCTTGTTCAAGATCAAAGGTCAAGGCTAAGGGGAGGTTCCTATGTTGGGGATGCATGCAGGACATATAACCTACACACATCCTCCCATACACTCTTTATCGGCATGGAAAGTTGAGGCAACTTTTGAAAGGAAGGAAATAAGGGAAGGGCATTCTAGGCAGAGCAAAGAGCAGGCTCAAAAGCTGAGAGATCTAAAAATTATGGCTTGTTTAGGAAAAGCAAGTTTCTACAGTGCTAGAGTAGAACATGTGGAATGGGGGCAGGGGAGGTAGCAGAAACTGAAAAGACGTTTGGATTATGAGTGTCATTCAATGTCATACTATAGACTCTAGACCTTATCCTGTAGGTAAAGAGCTTTTGGAAAGCACTAGGGTAGGATATAAAATAATCCACAGTAGAACTGCTCTGTCCATTATGGCAGCCTCTAGATTCATGTGGCTACATAAATTTGAATTCCATTAAATTTAAAATACAATTCTCCAGTCATACTTGTCACGTTTGAAGTTCTCAACAGCCACATCGAGTAGTGTCTGTCCTCCTGGACAATGCAGATATGTAGCATTGCCATCATTCCAGAAAGTTCTATAAGACACTGTTGCCTTAGAATGATGATTCATATGGAAATGTAGAGAATGGTTTAGAGATAAGAGAATCAGAGTGTTAGACAAGTCTGAAAACCATTGCAGTGTTCTGAGAAAGAGATGAGGCATGAAGTAAATGGTCACAGTAAGTGAAGAGGCAGATAGATTCCAATGGTATTCCACAGCAGGACTGTGTCATCTATCTAGATGATTGTGTCAGCTATAGAGGTGAGAAAGCGGGGGAGTTGTAGTAATGGAGATTTCTAGCCTGGGTGGCTATATGTGGTTATAGATAGCATCATTACCTGAAAACGAAACATAGGCGGCATACATAGTTCCAACAGGATTGGGTTGAGTTGACTAAGGGTTATCTAGTGAGATGACCGGCAACTATTAGAAAAATTGGGCTAGAATTCAGGAAGCCCTCAGAATTGATAAAGAAATAAATGTAGGGCTTCCCTGGTGGTAGAGTGGTTAAGAATCCGCCTGCCAGTGCAGGGGACCCGGGTTGGAGCCCTGGTCCAGGAAGATCCCACATGCCGTAGAGCAACAAAGCCAGAGCGCCACTACCGAGCCTGCGCTCTAGAGCCCGTGAGCCACAACTACTGAGCCTGTGTGCCACAACTACTGAAGCCTGTGCACCTAGAGCCCGTGCTCTGCAACGAGAGAAGCCACTGCAATGAGAAGCCTGCGTACCACAACGAAGAGTAGTCCCCACTCACCACAACTAGAGAAAGCCCGCACGCAGCAATGAAGACTCAACACGGCCAAAAATAAATAAATAAAATAAATAAATTTATTTAAAAAAAAGAAGTAGATGTAAATATCATCAGCTTCCCCTAGAACAGTGATCGCTAAGATTGCTCTTTGGAATCTCCTAGAGATCCTTAAATATGATTTTCTGCTTAAAATTATGTTAAAAATTCTGAGTCCCAGAAGTTTCTATCTCAGGGGCACCTGGGAAGCTGTACAGTCTCGTCCTTGGTGTCTGAGGGGGATTGGTTTTGGGACTCCCCATGGATACCAAAATCTGAGGATGCTCAAGTCACTTATATAAAATGGCATTAGTATCTGCATATAACCTGCGCAACCCTCCCATATACTTTAAGTCACCTCTAGATTATTTATAATACCTAATACAATGGAAGCGCTATGTAAACAGTTGCCAGCACGCATCAAATTCAAATTTTGCTTTTTGGAATTTTCTGGAATTTTTTTTCGAATATTTTTGATCTGTGGTTGGTTGAATCTGAGGATGCAGCACCTGTGGATACAGAGGGCTGACTGCATTACTGGTAAGCACCCTGGTTGACTCTGATGAAACTATTCAATGGACTGGTATTTGAGAATCTTTCTAGAAGATGGGAGAAGCCATGAGAGTGAATGAATGAGATCAATCAGAAAAAGAAGTGAATATTCATCTAGAGGTAAATCTAAGGAAATAAATCCAATAAGAGGTAGGAAGAAGATCCATGTTAAAAAATAAAAGTGAATCTAGACACAGACCTTATATTTTTATCACAAAAAATGAACTCAAAACGGATCACAGACCTAAATGTAAACTGCAAAACTACAAAACTCCTAGAAGATAATGTGGGGAAGGAGAAATAATTTTTCCTCTCCCCTTTCAGGTTCTTGGCTGAGATCCCTCCGTAATGAAAAGACAGGTTAATGGGAGAAAAACAAACACATTTAGTAAATTGTATACCTTCTATATTCAAGGGAGATATCCAAGAACACTGAATAACTCTCCAAAATGGCCCAAGTCTCCACCTTAGATGCCGTCTGTAGTTAAAGACAAAAGATGTTGCGGTCTCCCCCTACCCCCCAACCCAGGCCAGTTATGGGAGGTGACCAGCAAAAGCACAGTAACCAAGGGTAAGGTTGTTCTGCAGATTTAATTCACTGCCTTCTCCATCAATAAGTGTTTCCAGAGATTTAGAATCACCCTTCTCTTCCAGGTACAGAGAGGGAGATACCCGTACAAATAGAGATTTCCCTTAGAAATATAAATGTCTCCTACAAAAGGAGCTTTTGTACTTCTACTCAGTTTTCAGGGCTTTTCCTATGTTTGCTGCTTCTTCAAAGTATCAGCCTAAAATAATTCTCCTGCCAAAGAGGCATATTTTGGGGTGACAGATTCTGCTCCCCTTCAATAACAAAGGACAAAATCTAGAGGACCTTGGGTTTGTTGGTGACTTTTTTTGTTTACTATGTGCCAGATCTTAGTTGCAGCATGAGAGATCCTTAGTTGCAGCATGTGGGATCTAGTTCTCTGACCAGAGATTGAACCCAGGCCCCCTGCACTGGGAGCACTGGACTACCATGGAAGTCCCTGGTAGTGACTTTTTAGATAAAATACCAAAGGCGTAATTCAAGCAAGAAAGAATTGATAAACTAGACTGCATTAAAGTTTTTAAAATTAAAAACTTCTGCTCTTTGAAAGACAATTTCAAGAGAATTAGAGGCCACAGATTGGGAGAAAATATTTGCAAAAAAATGTATCTGATAAAGAGCTATTACCCCAAATATACAACGAACTCTTAAAACTCAACAATAAGAAAACAACCCAATCTTAAAAATTGGTCAGCGGACTTCCCTGGCAGTCCAGTGGTTATAGACTTCACCTTCCAATGCAGGGGGTGAGGGTTCGGTTCCTGGTTGGGGAGCTAAGATCCCACATGCCTTGTGGCCAAAAAACCAAAACATAGAACAAAAGCAATATTGTAACAAATTCAATAAAGACTTAAAAACAAAAAAAAATTGGTCAAAGACCTTAGTAGACACCTCACCAAAGAAGATATAGAGATAGTAAGCATAAAAAAATTAATTAACAGAAACTTCGTGCTTCCCTGGTGGCA